ATCACTACAGTACTGAGCATATTTATGGCTTACTTGTGGTCATCTATTGAGTCTTCTCTGCTCACCAATTTTTCCATTGCTCTCCTTAGCCTCTCTCACATCCTTTATAGCAGCTAATTCAAATATAGGCAAGTGTTTCTTTCTCCATCTTAACACTGGTATCTTTCCTCAGTGTCCCATCACGAGAACTAACAAACTTACTTGCATCTGAACCCACCCTTTCTTACTTCTCAAATTCAAGGTGTCTGCTCCTGACTAAAGCTAATAAAGCCACCCGTACAATAGATCCTTTTCCCCAACCCCTCATGGAATTCCCTTCACCAGTTTTCTTCTATCTTCAATTTCTTCATTGCTATTATTGACACTTTCTTGTCAGCATTAGGACATACTGAAGTCTTACTTTAAAAACAAAAGAAATACCTTCCCTCAACCCTATTATTCTCTAGCTACTAGCTTCTACCTCTCTTTTTATAGCTAATCTTTTTAAAAGCATTGCCCTGTATTCATAGCCTCCATTCCCTCATTTATTTTTCCCTCAACAAGTCTTCTGCTGTCATCATTATAGGCAGCATTTGATATTCTTAATCTCTCCTTTCTCATTCTTGGATCTCCTGGTTTTCCTCTCAGAACCTCGAAGTACTCCATTTAGAGATCTTATTTCAAAAATACTGCTGTCCCTCATGAGTCTTAAGTAGGTTGGCTTGACTGAGTCTGAACCATCCATCAAAGTTCTAAAGCAGGCGAGGAGTCTATTCAATTCTCAAGACAGCAGAATGACACTTTTAGTGAGCTCTGAGGTCTAGGGCCTGGCTATTAGATTTTTAGGGGTTACAGAAACCCAAATTTATAGTCATACTAGTGTACTATTCTTAGAAAACACAACCATAAATTCCTAAACTCATAAGAAATGGAGTTTCTGGGTTTTTAAAACTCAGAAACATAATTTACAAAGAAAAATGTAAATGTGAAATATATTCTTTCATCATGGGAGAATCATATGGAAAGTGAAACTATCAGAAAGTTAATAATGTTGGTGTTAGAACTGACCAAAGGGTTTTAGGTATGACAAACTGTCTAATGGCAACAGACCGTAGGCTGCAGTGTCCAGCTCCAATCTGGAATGACCTCTGAAAGAAATGCTTCCAAAGACTTGCAAAGGGTTTATTCCGCTGTCATGCATACTATATTGTGAAGACGTGCGATTCTTGTCTAAATATTCAACTAGACTGATGTTAAGCATCTCATTCTCTAAACCAAATATAGGGAAATTAAACCTTGAAAACGAATATATTATGAGCATACCAAATACTATGTTTGTTTTTCTTGGTTACCTTGTCACTGTGAAGCTCTTCTGGATTAGAATAGGTTATTCAAATGTCTTAAAGCAAAGTTACTCTGAAGCCATTGATAAGTTTCCTTCATAAATTGGGTCTGTTTCAACTAAAAGCATTATTTCTCTTTGTTTTCAAGGGATAACTTGCTACAAGAAAGCAAATACGCAATTGCCACGGGTAAGCAAACTAGGAAAGACTAATTAAAATAGCATAGTTTTATTTCTCTACTGTATTGACTGTACTTGTACACTGAATGTGAGACAAAAATCCTAATCTTATAGGCTTCACTCAATATGCCCCTATATATGTTCAAGTTGACCTTTACTGTAAACTAAGTCCTGCTCTCCATTAGGAAAAAATCTGTTTCATGAGGGATCCAAAGTATCATTTAATAATGTCATAACCACTTAATATCACTGTATTTACTAAGAAGGTCATTACTTTGTTTTTTTGCACATGTAGGTGAAGTAAGTTTACAAAAGAGAGCAGTATGGTCCATATTTTTTTGGAAGCAATGAATTAGAGAGGATTTTCTTTGCAATGAATGTGCAGATATGCTTGGTGATCTGATCATAAAGTTATATTCTTGATTATATCTTTTTTTCATCATTAATTTTTACTCAGTTCTTTATGGGAAAGTTAATTTATTTCCAGTAGTTATTCTCATGTTATTCACTTATCAGAATGGCTCAAAAAAGGTACAAATGAATATGTGATATGAAAATAGTAAATAGTAGATAGGCTTTTCATCTATCTGTTTGCATTGGATTTGGCAGAGTTCCACACTGATTCCACACTGGACTGACCACCTAAGAACATACTTTTCTTCCAGGAGCTTTAACATTAACTGTTGTGTGACCCAAAGGGTTGGATTTAAACTACAGCAACAGGTTTGCATGACTGATAGATATTTGGCTACATAAAAGACAATATAGTATGATGCTTATGTATACGAACTTTCTAGAATTTATTATGTGCTCAATAGTGTCTAGTTCTGGCACTATGGTATTCAGGACATTGAAGTCCCTAAACTTCAGTATCTTCATGTGAAAAACAAGCATAATATTATCTCTTTCAAAATGACTGTGTGTGTTAATTGAGATAATGAATAGTACATGCTTGCCCTGGTGTCTGGCAAAAAGTGTCTATAATGACAACGATGGTAGATATAGCTTTCCTGATGCACAGATATTTGTTTCATTGAAATCAGATCTGTCATGAGTCTCATATACTATAGATTCTATATATGGACTATTTCTCAATAGTCATATACTTTAAAAAGAGTCACCCAAGTGAAGCAATTTCTGGGATATAGTTTACAGGGCTTTTAGTGATAGTCTTAGTCTACTGAGTGGGACTTCCCCAGGTGTCTAGTCCCTCAGCATGATGTCATCTGAATTTCTGAAGCTGGAGTGTAGCTGCTAGGGGAAAGATACTGATGGTGTTATTTTTTTCTTATAGTGTGTCTTGAGATAGTTCAGAATGCCACACGAACTTCTATATTAAGCTAACCTTTTTCTAAACCACAGGTCTTGAGAACTGGAGGGAGATGACATTTGACATTACTACCTGTAAATGACCTTTCTTTGATTCTAATCCGTTTCATCACACACACCATCTTTCTGAATTATCAAACAGCAAATGGCTCCCTCGTTTTATCCCTGTAGGGCTCTTCATTGTCAGGTTGCCAACTATCTGATCATAAGAGAAGGAACGTAAAATCCTGGATTCTTTACTTTCTTTTGGCAATGCATCCCTTTATTCTCTTCAGTCAACACTGGATTGTTTAAGCATGTAAATCACTTTGCCATACTGTCAAAGAGTGTTCGTTTATAGAGTTGAACCATGTCACAAACAGTGGACATGCACTTCCATGAGCTTTTTACAAAGTTAAAAAGGATCACAGTGCTCTTGGCACTGGTTTGACTATCAAATGTTAGCCTTGCAAGGCAGCTTGTCCTCAGTCTGCAGAGTATGAATTCATCTGCAGAATCCAACCTTTGGTATATTACCCTCTTAATCTGTCCTCTTTTCTCCTACTAATTCCCAAGTCAAAGGATCACTTTGGGTTTTACTTCTCTACTCCAGCAAAATAAAGTTTCTTAATCTCTTGCATTTAATTGCTAAAAATATCTGGATCATAAAGGGTGGTTTTTATCCTTATTAATACTCCCCGGACAATGATGGCACATTTTATTGTTATTCTCTATCCATCAGCTATATTTTCACAAAGTGGAATACCTTCTTCTTTTGTTGAATTAACACTTTACTGGTTATTCCAATAACTTCATGGTATTTTTTATGTTTACATTTTAGTTTCCTAGAACTTTCTTCACGATGATTTTTAGACAAGGTTTTTTTTTTCGGTACTGGGAATCGAACTCATGACCTTGCGCTTGCCAGGCAGGCTCTGTGCCACTGAGCTAAATCCCCAGCCCCCAAAGTTTTTGAACATCACCACTTGATCCAGTGGAAAATTCCATTTTTGTATGAATGGAACTCGTTTCCTTAAATGCTAAACACATCTGCATTTTAAAAGCAACTATGATGAACTTTAACGACACCATTAAAAATATATGCTTACATTTCTATTCTGAAAACTCACTGGTCCTCAACCCCTTTGTATAACTCCTTCAATTTATAATTCTTATCTGGATATAGTTAGCTTATCATCTGCTCTACACCAAAACATGTTCTCTAGAAGAAACCTGGTATTATTCTATCAAAGTGTGAATGTAAGTCATAATGTTAATTTTCTAGGGACATTGAGTATTTGGAGAGCCATACCTCTAATTGGACAGGGACACTAACAGATTATTAACAGAAGATATTGTTCAATAGGGATGAAATGAGAAGTTTTTCACTTGCCAGCCAGAAAGATCCCAGATTATCAATGTACTCAGGGAGGCAAAGTTGGTAGGTATTAATATGCTTACTTATGAAATGGATTTGGGATCTTAAGAATGTTTTCTTTTGAAACTATAGTGCTACTTCTGGCTTCCCCAATTCTTTAGTACCAACCTAAGTTCACAGGAGAAAGTAAGAGCATAGTTTTATATTCTACTTAAAAAGATAACACTACTTCAAAGACAAGAACACCACCTGACAAAAGTAAAGCAAGTTAATAGTTTTTAAAGCATTGTGCCTATGTATGCTTCTTAATGTGGACTGTTCCAGAGATTCAAGTTATTGTAGAGCACCTACTCTGTGTAGGCACGCTCTATAATTAGTACTATAAAAACCACCTAAATAAAAAATACACAATTGGCTTCCAAAAATTTGATATTAGGAGAGAATTGCAATTTTCTAAATCTCCCAACAGCAACCAAAACTCAAAAACATGGAGTTAATTGCTTGAGCAGAGATTTTCATCCATGTTCCTTTAAAGGGAATTGCTTTTAAATCTAAAAGTTAATGCAAATCATCCAAAACACAAAACCAATACTCCATAATGCACCTTTTAGCTACCCTGCCTTACAAATTTTTCTTTTGCTAATTACACTTCATGATTATAAAATTACATGTTGCATCCCTTGATAGTCACTCTGGCTCTTGAGTTGTCACGATGTGAGATGCAATGATTTGCTTATGAAACAATAGTCAAAAGTGCATTTTAATCACAATTGCATTTTCTATATAATTTAGACACTTTCGCAATTTATATTTGCAAATTTTATTTGATATTTACAAAGAGGTTCACATTCTTTACGTGGACCATACTCCACAGCTGATTTATTAAGGATATATATAACATGACTTAAAAGCCAAGATCTGTCCAAAATCCTTATGGAATCAAAATATATCACTGATATACTTGTCCCCTGAAAACCACTTAGTATAGCGGAGGTGGGTATGTGATTTCCTCCATGTTCACTCATTCATTCATTTGTTCCTTCATTCAATAAACGTATTCATGACCAACTCACAGCAAACAAGGTGTTAGCTCTGAGACAACAGTGATTAACAGGACAGACATAATCCTTGCCCTTAAAAGGGTCATATTCTAGTGGGGAAGACAGATTTTAAAACCCAATATATAAAATATTTTTAAATCGTGTTATGAAGGAAATAGCCAAGGTGCTAAGTTAGTAGGGGGTGGGGGTTGGAAGGAGCAATTTCTGTAGGCTGCGATAGAAAGGATGAAAAAGTACCAGCTACGTGAAAAACGGCAAAGGTGGGGTGTTTTCTTCCTATCTGTCGTCTACCTTCTAAAGTGAAAATTTAACTCTCCAGCCGGATATAGCGGCTAAAGAATATGGTACTCCACTTCTCTGGTGGTATATCTATGCACAGTGTAACTATACATATACTTCACAAAATGTGTGCAGTGTAGTTACGGCAAAGGACACAAATGCCGAGTAACATTCTTTACACGGTGAATTACTATTTTATATGAAGGTTCCTTCCCGTGAGTGGATTTCACTGTGAGTCTTAGTGCCAGGAAGGGACTTCAGAGGCATGAAACGGAATCCCCAATCTTAGTACACGAACACAGCGTTGACTTCTCAGGATGAGTCGGACACACCAAGATCTGCAAGTCAGAAAGTAACATGCAAGGAGATGTGTTCCAAGGGGCCTAACTCTCGTAGGCGGTCATGAGATCTCTGCTGCTCTAAAATCTGGACTCCATCACCCCTCTGCCCAGCTCCGGACGAAACAGGTTGACCAAATGTAAACCATCTGAAGGCTAAACCACTAGAGGGAGAAAGTGTGCCTCTGGTGACTGGGGAGCCAATGAAAGGATAGGATTCAAGAAAGCTAAATTAAGCTCTAGCCAGCCAGGGGCAAGGACTAAGTCAACCCTGGTAGCCTTGGGAACTTGAGCATGAATTCTTAAAACTGAATGGCTCCTCTTACACCAAATAATGCAACAAGTATGAAGATATTTCATCTTAATTTTGAATGTTGTACTCCATATTTCCTAAGGACCTCTATAACTTTGGAAAGACTGTAGCATGTAAGCTGAGCTTTCAAGAAGGGTTTCTGACAATTTTGAGACATTACGTTATCCTTTATATATTGGCAATTTACATATTATGGGCAATATTTCAATGTTTTCAGGTAATTTAAGATACAAAGCTTTGCTGTCTATTGGGATGAACAGGATAATTTGAGAGTTCTGTTTCTAAACTATTACTTCAGGAAAATTAATTTTATTCAGATAACTGGCAGGTCAAAAAAATTCCTTTACCAATACATCACCCGCAGAAACTGTACCTTCAAAAAACAAGCATCAGACAGTTGTTACAACCTGTAAAAATAGGATTACCCTTAGCTCCAGATCCACTGCCTTAGTGGATCTGTCCATTGAAACCTGGTTAATCTTATTTGCTGTACAGCACTGTAATTTTCCATAATTAAAAATAAAACAAAGCCAACTGGTACAACTGTTTAATCAATACAATGTATGGCATACACTTTTACAAAGTAACTCACTATAAAATTTACACATAGTATTATACAAGTTATATCACATCCTCTTAGTGTGTACCAAGGTGCATGAATTCTTTCCTTACACCAAAAGCTAAAGAAATTACCCCAAGTCTCCCGGACACAGACTGGTGTTTAAAAGATAGTCGACGATTTTGTTTTCAATGGATCATTTCACTCTCCTCAGCAGGAAAAAACAAACACCAGCAACTATTTCTGGGATTCTTAAAAATAGCAGGAGCACAGTGCCTGTTCCTCTCCTCTCTGAGCACTGATTTGCCTCACAATCTGGGATACGGGTTCTCAGAAACGCTGTTTGGCAGTCCTGATAATTTCATGTGTTTCCAAAGTTTAATCCACCCAGACTACCCAGTTCGGTATTTCCAGCTCCTTTCATTTTCCTTTTCCCTTTAATTATAGGAGGCTCTATCCCCTCTTCTCGCAAATGTGGTGGAGAGACACCCAACGCCACCACGCGCGGCCAGACGACACCGCGGCTTCCCCGGGGCGGCCCGCAGCAGCTCCTCCCGGATGAAGGCGCCGCGATGGGAGACCCGGCCGGGCCGGCCCGCGCGCTCGGCGACGCTCGGGACCCTCGGCCGCAGCCCTGACTCCGCGGGAGGCGGCCCTGCCCGGGGAGGCAAAAAGGCAAGTAAACACTCTAATTTTAAACTTGCACTGGAAAGCACTTTCAAAATAGTCGCAGCGGCTCCTCGCACAGCTGGCCGCGGCTCGGCGCGGGCCGGGTGCGCGGCGGGCAGCGGAGGGGTCGGCG